TTTTTTTTTTTGGTCAAATTGATTCCTATATCTTTGAGAAGGAATTACTTGTTTAAAAGAACTGATAAAGTTTGTGTTCAAAAAAATTTGTCGGAATAGTTGATATATCATAGTCAACAATACTGATCATCAAACATGATATAATAAAACTTCTAGTTTTTTTCATTTATACTGGTATTTTCATGTTTTATGATTGATGATTGATTAAATATTCCTTTGTCAATGCATGTGAATGTGTGTGGTCTATACTAAAATGACATTTTCTGTTATATGTGCAAGTCCACTACGAGCTTTATCATCGTATTTCCAAATACGACCATATATTTGACATTGAAATGATATAAAAATATATCTCCTCGTCACCGCAAAATACAAAAAGCTCAATTTTTTCTTATCCTCATTTAGTTTTGAGAAAATATTATCCACCAAAAAAAAAAAAAGTTCGTGTTCTATCTTTTGTCAATAATACAACGACGAAATGATTGCCTACTCTAAGAAAAATCACAAAAAGAAATCAAAGGGACAACAAAAAATAACACAAAAGACAAAAACTAATACACCTTTTAAATTTGCAAATAACATCGCTTAACCATATTTTACCGGTATATAATGATTTTAATAAACTAAACATAAAACATAATCAGATCACTGAAGTACCAAAAAGACTTTTACTTCATACAATCAAAAGAAAAAGCCAGAAAACTGGAATGTTGCCAATGTAGACATTAAGTCGATAAAAACATTCGAAAAGATGAGAGACTAATAAAACACTATAACAGTTTTGAACAAATCTCTTAGTTCCGGTACCTGCTTCCACGACCGTAGTCTCTGTCTCTGTCCCGATCATGGTCATAGTCATAGTCATAGTCACGCTCTTTGCCTCTTTCCCTCTCTCGGCTTCTGCTTCTGCTTCTGCGTCTATCCTTATCGTAATGATGATCTCTATGCTTATCGCCACGGTCTCTTTGCCTGTCTCTGCTTCTCTCTCTTCCATCTCTATCAACACCTGCCACATTGATGCAAATCATGAACACTAAATAAACACATTGGATCATGACTTTTCTGTGGAAAGTAGAAAACAAACATCTTTTAATCGGTTAGAGGTGTTGAAATAAAGCGCTAAGTTTAAGACCTTAGCATAAGTTTTCCATCTTTATCATACATATTCAGTTATCAGAAGAAAGCTCTTTAGAGAAACACCCATTTATACAAGGATTCATTGGAGAGACCCTCAAGGAGTTCTTCGAGTTAAAGCTAAAGAGAAATTACCTAGTTCCTCGACTTCCCATCCAGCACGACCAGCAGCAACGGCAGGTCTAGTGTCAGCTTGGTGTGTTTTAACACGGTACTTCTTCTTTAGATTGCCAAACTCATCATACATTTCGCCATCATCCTGAAATTTTATGACATATGAGTTAAATGGTATATATACCTAAAGCTGGGAACTCAATGCAACCAAAAAAATAACAAAGAACTCTTCAGTAAAAGCATTTTTTACTTCTTCAGCCTCACGCCTGCGTCTCTTTGTTTCCTCTAATTCTTGTTCGTCCAATTCCTTGTAACCACCACCACGACCTCCCC